TAAAAAGAGAAGATACAATGTTTTCTATACTCTTATTTTACTCTAGTTGGTATCTTCTGCTGCAGGGTTTGACTACCTTTGTTTTGCTATTTGGTGGTAGAAAACATGCCAGAGAGAAAAATAACAAAAAAACCAAACCAAACCAAAAAAAACAAAAAAGGAAAACTGATGAGAGAGAGTGGTAGAGCAGGAGGTCCTGTTAGCAGGCACGGACATTATGAATTCAAGACCAGCCTAACTAAAAGAGCTAGTTCCAAAGCTACAGAGAAACCCTGTCTTAAAAAAAAGAAAAAAGAAAAGAAAAAAAAAAAGCAGGATGGAGGGTGAACAAGATGTCTTGTGTAGGCTGCTGTGTTTAAATCATGGCTCTTCTCTATAATCCAGGAATTCCAAGCAAGATAGACTCATGGCCCCCAAGCAAGAGAGCTCTAAATGCTGTTTACTCCCCTCTCACATAGAGATCCACCTGCCTCTGCCTCCCAAGTGCTGGGATTAAAGGCGTGTGCCACCACCCCCAAGCATGATCTGCAGTAGTTATCAGAAGCAGGTAATTTAGAGTAACAGCAGCAGTTTATACTCTGATTCTCAACAGTACAAGATCACTGACCACAGTCAGTCCTTGCCTCCCTCCAAAATTAACCAAGCGCACAGATAGCACACTTCATTTTTTATGTGATGTAATCAAGATGTTATTTGCTATCTAACACACTGTATCCAGAATGTGTTTATAATTGCAGCATAGGGAAGTAAAAATCACACAGATCAAGTTCAAGGCTAACCTGGCTACAGGGCCCTGTCTCAAAAAACCAAAATTTAGATGGATGGATGGATGGATGGATGGATGGATGGATGGATGGATGAATAAGACAGACAGACAGACAAAACTTCCTTCCCTTTTTGAGATGAGGTCAAATGTAACACAAGCTAGACTTGAATTATACAGGCTAAGATGACTTTGAACTTCACACTGTCCTGCCTCCATCCCGAGTGCTGAATTATAGGTTTAAGTCATGCCATTTTTGCAGTGCTGGAGACCAAACCTAGGACCTCATGCATACTAGGAAAGCACTCTATCAGTTAAGCTACATCTCAGTGACTTAATATTTTTCTATGGCCATTACTCAGCATGTAAATTTCAATTATTATATCCTTTGTATTGCTTTGGACAAACAAGTACATTCATCTCATTATTAGCAAACAAGTTTTCATCTTTAGTGAAAAAATTACATGTACACTAAACAACTGTTTGAAAATAATTAATTTTAGCTGGGTGTAGTGGTTCATGCCTTTAATCCCAGCACTGCAGAGGCAGGTGAATCTCTAATTTCAAGGCTAGCCTAGTCTACAGAGTGAGTTCCAGGACAACCAGGCTATACTGAGAAACTCTGTTGAGAAAAAAATAAATAAATAAAATGAACAAAAAAATTTTAAAAATTTAATGAATTGCTATCAAAGTTTGATTTGCATACCTGTCTTATATACTCGGGATCATAAACTGGATGAAAAAGACAACTAGCATACAAAGTTTAAGGTACTCTCTTGTGTACATGACCACAGCAGAGTACCAGCAGCCCTTTGCTCATCTGGCTCTCAGCACCCTACATGCTCTCTACAGGCATAGGAATGTACTTTTCAGCACTCAGCAATATCTAGCATATGCAGGACTTTCAATGCCTCAGGAATGTTGGGATTAAAGGCCTAAGAATGTTTTCTAAAGAGCACTCAGGCTGGGGTGGAGATGGGTGGAGCTTAGTAACTAAGCTTGTGATGACTTGAGTGTAAACCCCAGCATTAAAACAAGCAAGAAACTGAATACTGTCCTACTGTAATGGAAATGCACATGTATACAGTGTGTGAGAACTCCATTTTACAAATAACAGTCAAGTGGAGAAACAACACCCAGAGTAGACCTAGATGCCATGTACATCACCTCGCACACAGCCTTCAACAGTCTAGAATTTCTCTGTGCAAGTTCTGGTTTCTATCTAAAGCACCAAAATACAACACATCAACACAACACTCACTCTTCCCAGAGAAGAGTCAATGCAGTCTTCTCTTCTAGCTAGATCAGCTAACTAATCTGATCACTATGGGTAAGAATGAACATACAGGTGACACCAGTCAATAGAGATTTGAAAGTAAAATTTATCCACAATAACTGAAAGACAATACAGACTTTATTCTCATGTCATAGTTCTGGTTACTAAGAAGCCTTGGTCAACTTTCTTACCTATATTACTACAAAAAAGGGGGACTCTAGTTCTCATCACTGGACATCTGCTGCATAAACTTTGACCTCTCATGGTTTTATTTAGAGTAAACTGACTGCGGGGGTGGGGGGCATTCTCCCAGCTCCATTTTTGTGCAATTGACAGTTGAGTGTCAAGTACAGAGGATTATTTAATACATAGGTGCTTGGGTGGTTTCTCTAGGCTGCCAGTAGGCAGGTCACTTTCAGATGCAGCCTACAATGGGGTACACACCTTGCAGAGAACTAAGAGCAATAACAAAACCATTTAGACTGTCTGCTCTTTTACTATGACTATATGCTGACTGCTGTAAACAATGTCAACAATAAAATACTCTCTGGCAAAGTAGGGGAAAAAAAATTCTTGGCAATTGAGGAGGCAGCTACTTCTTTCAGGAAGTCTCCTAAAATGTGTTTCTTCTGTGGCCTATGACACCTCCTAACATCTTGTCAGTAATGCTAGCAAATTGACCAATTAAGGGAGCTAAGGCTAATACTTATTTTACTGTGCTTGCAACAGATAAAAAGGGATATTTCTATTAAAGAAAAAGGTCTCACACCTGAACAATTATGTCCCATGAAGGACGATACTAAAGAATAAACTATGTCTCTCCTATTAAAAGTTAGAATTTATTTATGCCCTAAGCAATCACCAAGGATGCAAAATATACTTGACGGGGTGCTGGGGATATAAACAAGACAGTCTCCTGTTTTCTTAGCATTCCCAGGAAGGTGGAGGACAGAAACAAGCAAGAATGAAAGAAGCCATAACTGGATTAACTCTAAATGAACGACAGACAAACTTAAGACATGTTGGATACCAGAGGTTTGCACTGACTGCAATACAATTTTAGCAGGTTAAGGGTGACTGATTTATTCAGTATGTGACTACTAGTTTAGTAACATATAAAATCTGAATTCTTCCACTGGATCTGCTCAAACTTCCTTCACGTGCCTGCAGGTCACCTAGAACTCTCTTAAATCACAGAAGCCTCCTCATGAGGATGGGCTCCACAGTTCTACTGTGGCAAAGCAGTGAGTGGGAGACCTGGAGAACTTGGATAATCCAGTCCCATGAAATGACATGAAATAAAAAGGACTCTGAATAAACATGACATAAAACTGCATACTTACAACAACCAGAACATGGGATAATAAGTTTCCTACAGTTTGGGAATTTTCTTTTCTTTCCTTTTCCCTTTTCAATTTATCTTTAGCACATGGTGGCCTGAGTCTACAGTTGGTCCACGAATTCTCCGCATCTTCAAATTCAATCTTTGACTGAAAAGTTTTATTTAATGCATTTTTACAAACATGTGTAAATCTTTTCTTCATCACTAGTCCCTACACAATAGAGAACAAGAGCTAGTCATATAGCATTTATATCATATTAGGCATTAGAATCTAGGAAGGGTGGAAGCACAGCAGTTGCACAGCGTTTGTCTATCACGAGCAGGATATTGAGTTGACTGCAAAAAATTCTTTTTAAAACTACAAACAATCTAGCCAGAATTTAAAGTATGTGGGAATGGGAGAATGTGTGTAGATTTAATGCAAACACTGTGCCTGCATATTTATTTGTAAAGGGTCCTGGAACCAATCCCTTCTCAGGGACTGAGAGAAGACTATACTAGATACAATGACCTGAGACCTACACAAGCCCAGCCCACAAGGGCTCCTGGTATGAGCACAATGGACAGATAAGAGCAGGCCCCACACTTTTTTCTGGTCACAGTCCTAATGGCCATTCAATCACAACTGTACTCTATAATAAAGCAACCTCGCTCTGCCCTGGGGTCCTTAGTCAAATACTTCAAGGTTTTCATGTGGCATTCTTCCTACATGTAAGACAAGAGCAAATGGGAGAATCCAGACACAGGGAGAAGTGTTGAAACCCAAAACCTGAGTACTTTAATCCTCACTGAAAAGCGGCCCCAGAACTTGGCCTTGCAGCAGCACATGCAGCTGTCTGATCCATGGCATGAGGTGGGCAACAGCCTCTCTGCAGACCACACTGTGTTCACTGCGTTATTTCAGCCACCACATGAACAAATAGCTTCAGAAGAACATTTCCAACAATAAAGGAGAACCTCTGACCCAAGAAATCAAATGGATTCACCATCCAAACACTACAGGGTAGTCATGATGCAGAACTAAGGAGCAAAGGGAATGAGACAGCCTCTTATTTGTCACTTTCAACTAACTTCTTTATTTCCATGGGAATGTGTTTTGGAGTATGCAAAATGTTTTAAGCCACTGTATGATTAGAGTTACAGCAACTTCTCTCCAACACTTTGAAAAACACACTATGGGGCAAAAGAAATCACAATCTAATACAAATCTCCAATGATGTGCAAATTAATTCTAGAAGTATATATCTATTTCCTCTACTTAAAAAGCAGCTTGAGGCCTTTAAAATAAGGCTTCCTATAGTCTTTCTAAACCTTTAAAACAAGTGATCGAGGAAAAAGCATGAAGCATAAAAGCAAATGCACAGTAACTACAGTAACAGCAACATTAAAGCTCAAAAAGGTATAGACACACCTATGAGCCAGAAAATGCACCTAAGAAGGGACCCCCGAAGGAGGTCTTGAGGGCAGGATTAAACACTTCTTGTTTATTATTCTTACAGGCAGATGGGCAATTCTTCTCTGCCACCACCCCTCCATGGCTGAGGCCCAGCCCTCTTTGGTTCTCTGCCAGAGATTCTCAGGGAGGTGTGGGCGTCCAGGAGTGCGCACAATCTACTTACTCAGAGCTGCAGTTGCTGCTGTGGCTCAGAGGGTCAGTAGGACGGCTAGAGTCTACGACATGGATTCCCAGTGAATTGATAGCTCTCATTAAAATAGTCACCATTGCCTCTACTGGAAGCTTCTCAAGAACAATCACCCGACATCGGCTCAGAAGAGCGGCATTGACCTGGAAGGAAGGGTTCTCTGTGGTTGCACCAATCAGTGTGATCGTCCCACATTCCACGTGAGGAAGGAAAGTGTCCTGATCATGGGAGGAAAAGAGAAGACAGTGATTCTACTCAGCAGCCATGGGCAGAATCCTATGTAAGTTGTCTATCCACTCCTTCATCTTCCTAATTTCACCTTTTCAGAACACTCATCAGATAGAGCAGATCAATTTCACGAGTATCCCTCTTGGTTAACATGTATAAAGCTCAACTTTTGGGTCTTGATTAACATGTATAAAGCTCAACTTTTGGGTGTCTAAGCCTGGTCTCTTGTTGAAAAGGTATGGTAAATTACCACCTACCTATAAGAATAATTCCAACAACTTCAACATAAACTACTTCTTGGCTTAGAAAAGTACCTTCTAGTACACAGTGTGTACAACTGCATGCCAGCTTTTTATAGAAGACCACAGTGTTAGTATTTCTAAAATATTCTTCCCCTACAAGTATTCAAACATCCTGTTACTGTTCTTAACACTGGTGAATATGCAACCCCCAGATATTGTCTAAAGGGAAAATGTCAGGTCAACGGTCCCATGTAAAATCATGAAGCCAGTGTCAGGCAGAATTCTAAAATGTTGTTTTACTCAAAAAGATTCACATTAGGAGAAAAAAGGTTTACTATTTTTGTGAAATATTTCTACTTGCAGTTAAAAAGCTGCAACAATGTAAATCAAAGAAAAAAGAATGCCTGAAAAACAACCATTTTTCTATTAGGTAATTCAAAATGAAGCCTCTAAATAAACATTTAAAACATTATCTTTTAATATTTTTATTGACAAGAGCTAGAAGGCACAGAAAACAGAAAATAATTTGAGGTATACATATACAGGAGAGAAATAAAACCATGAATTTGGGGGAGGGGTAAGAGCTAGAATCCAGGGTTTTCATAAGATAGGTAAGTGCTTTAGACCCTAACCTTAAAAAGATCTTTAGATCAAGTGTAATTGGTCACAATGTCTTTTTAGATTAAAAGCCTCTGGAAGTTGGAAACTGGATCAAAAGATCCTTTTCTTACATGGAAAGTCAGAGATAGAACAATCATTCCATTTATCAGAGGGAGAAAGCATTCTCTTGTCATCTAAAAATACAAAAAAAAAAAAAAGGGGAAATAAGCTTGAAGATGGGTGGCAGGCTACGTGTCCGGAGGACAGTTAACATCTGTTGCACTTTTTCAAAGTGCTCTTACATTCTATGTGTCCTAGTTTATGCACATATCTGAAAACTAGTAAAAAGTTAATATACCTGCTGAGATTTATTGAACCGATGAATCTCATCAATAAAGAGGATGGTTTTCCTTTTGAAAAAGCTCTTCTCATTCTGGGCCTGCTTTATGACATCTCGCACGTCATTTGTCTTGGCATTTGTTGCAGACAATGTCACAAACCTTATGCTGTGCTTCTTGCTGTTGTTGGCTATGATGTGAGCCAAGGTGGTCTAAAAAAAGGTGATAAACAGAGTTTGAAAAACTCATCAGACAGACTGGGCAGCATGCATGGGTACCACAAGCAGCATCGTAACTATTTAACCAAGTATACTGAACATGGCAGAATGCTGAAGCAGAGAGACTATAGAGTTGTAAAAAGGAACAAAATAATTACAATTAAGATGGAAAGATAGTTAATTCTACCACTCCCCTCCACTTAACTCCTTTTGATTCTTTTTTGGTGGACTCTTTTAAGATCTTATGAATCCCAATAAAGAATAGCAGTCCTGATTTAGCAAAGCCGGGGTAACAGCTGTGACCTCTCACCAAAGAGAAATTCTTTCTCCTTTGGCCAAGAGTATGATGTTGAAGGCTCCTGGATAAGAGTTGATCCCAGAACCAAGCTCAAATGGAAGCCAGCAGATTAGCTGAGAAAAGCAAAATGAATGGCTTCTGAGGGCACTGACAAGCAGCTAGCATGTGAAGTGGCTACATGCCACTTCTGAATGTCCACTCTAGAAGGAAATTAAAAGCAGGAATTTGATCTTATTAATACTTACCAGAAAACAAAGGAAAGATTGAAGAAAACCTCTTAATTCAGTACCTGGCATTTAATGGGTGCTCAATAAGTATGTATTTGCCATGACTGATACTACTGTTAGCAATTCAGTATTAAAAATGGAAATAAAGAAAAAGTGAAGGTTGCTAACTGAATGACAAACTGTTCAGCACTTTATTTTCTGGGAGTTGTACAGTTGAGTGTCATCAGACACTGGCTGCTTGGTAACGAATCCCAGCTTACCTGTGCCTTTTGGAATTAGGCTCCCATGTCATATGGGCTTGTGACTACCACCAACTGAGCAGACTTGGCCCAGAAATCTCTCACATTCAACCCTCCATGACTCACCACTCAGCTCCCTGCAGACCTTTGCAAAGCCTACAAGCATCAATATGCACTCTAATGCTGTTACACAGATGTCAGGATTACTGCCGATACTATTGACCAAGCCCCTAAAAAGAGGAACCACCAAATCCGGGAGGGGTGCAAAAGACATCAACAACTAAACAATTAGCATGTTATTTTGGAGGCTGGAAGTATACCTCAATGATGGAGTAGAATGCAAGGATCAGGGATTAAAAAAATGTTATCTGGGGTACATCTGATGTATGCTTGATCAGAGAGAACATGAGTACAAGAAGGCACAAAAGGAATGATGCATTCCAGAAAATAAAGAAGTGTAGCTGAGATGAGCTGCAAAGAAAAACAGGATTAACATCACAAATGTGTTCGTGTATGAAGCAGCCTGAACCTCAATCAAGAAGCATTCTTTACATTCCAATCCTGGGCTCATTCTTTATTTGTTCTATGGACGGGCATGAACAGGACTGTCAATTTATCACATTCTCTCAAGAACTCTTCCAGCGACCTGTTCTCTAAACCCATGATATCCTAGCCAATCTCCTCTGGCTGTAGTAAGATGACACACAGAACAGGACACTAAAGCATGAATGCTTTTCTTAATCGGAAGGCAATATGAGAAAGTTAAGGGAATGCCTGTTGAAACGCTGCACAGAAGGGAGATTTCTATTAGTTTCAAAAGCCAGTTAGAATAAACCAAGTAGTGGGAAGGAAAAGAAGTAGAACAGAAAAAAAATTTAATTACTTTTCCACAACAAATGGAGCTTACAAAATGTTTCTTCCCAGATTTTTGCTGCATGCCCTTTGCTTGGAATTAGGTCACTAAAAATCAAGGATGTGGGGGTACGTAGGAACACAAAGATGGCTCGAATCTCAGTACACATCTCCGCATAAACCAAGAAATTCAGGCATTTTTTTCTTTGGAAAACGCCCAACAAGTATGTTTTGGGGGAACTGGGGAAATGACATACTTGCTTCCTCATTGCAAACTCGGCTCACGCACGGGGACCGCGCCCCCAGGCCTCCCTCTCCCGAGGAGGGGTCGGGAATTTTGAGGACCGCACCTGGCCCTCGGCAAGAGTGACACTCACCTTGCCGCAGCCTGGCGGGCCCCACAGGATGAGCGAGGGGATCTCGTTGGTCTCCAGCAACGAGCGGAGCAGAGTCTCCTGCCCCACGGCCCTACTCTGCCCGATGTAGTCCTGCAGCGTATCGGGACGCATCTTGTCTGCCAGCGGCTTGCCCTCCAGCATCTGTCGGATTTCCTCGGCTGCCAGCGCCCGGGGATGCGAGCGGCCCGCGCTGACTCCGAACGATGCATCGGCGGCGTCCGCGTCCCAGTGCCCCGGGTCTTCCTCGCCGTCCACATCCGCGTCGCCATCGCCGTCCACCCCCGCCTCCTCTTCCTCTTGAGCCTCCGCCTCGTCCCAGCTGCGCGGAGATGCACTGCCCGCCGCGGCCGCAGCCGCCGGCCTCTTGCCCAAGCCCTTCCTAGCGGGGCTGCTGGACCGGGCCACCGGGAAGTCTGGGATGAGGCGCGCGCCGCTGGGCGTGGGCGGTGCGTCGTAGCTCTCACGGCTCTCGGTCTCGCCGCCGTCGTCACCCTCCTCGCCC